GAACCTCAATACTTCCATCCGAGGTCAAGATTGAACCTTGATGTAGTTCGCTTCACTCAAAAATAAGGTCGAGTACGAACCTCAATACTTCCAACCGAGGTCAAGATTGAACATTGATGTTATTCGCTTCGCTCAAAAATGAGGTCGAGTACGGACCTCAACGCTTCTATCCGAGGTCAAGACTAAGCCTTGATTAATTTGCTTCGCTCAAAAATGAGGTCAAGCACGAACCTCAATACTTCCACCAGGAATCAAAATTGAACCTCGACGTAATTCGCTTCGCTCAAAAATAAAGTCGAGTACGAACCTCAATACTCTCGTCCGAGGTCAATACCTCTATCCAAAGTCGAATTCGAACCTCGCTAATAATTCGTGCCCGCCTTAAGGCAGGAGAAAGTTTTGAACCTCGAGACAATTTGGGGCAAATTCGAACCCCCACACAAAGTTGTTCGACAGCACTAAGGACGCGAAATTATTTAACGTCGGAGGTCAAATCCGAACCCTCGCAACGTACCACCTGGCGAAGTACAAACCTTCATACAAGTCGTTCTACCCTAATCTAAGCTAGATTCCAAACCCCGACGCTATTAGCCCAAGATAGACCCCTCATAACAAAAATCTATCTAACCAAAACCGAGGTCGAACACGAACCTCACCGCAACAAACGCTAAAAGAGCAGTCATAAAGACAACACATTCACGACAGGCCAAGTCTGAGCCCAAAGAAATATAGCTAAAATAAGAATATGTCTCAAGAAAGCGATATGTACACACAGTCCCCGTGCAGATCGAAGCTCGGCCTCCTGCCGCTTCGCCTCACCAAGCGTAGTGCTAAGGGCCTTGTTCTCCTCCCTCAGGATCTTGTTCGCATCCTTCCAGGGTTGAAGTCGGCCCTTCAGCTTGGCCAGATCCTCTTGCTGTTTGGCCAGGTCCTCCTGCTGCTTGGCCCACCTATGCTTCTAGTGGCCCATTATGCCCATAACCTTCTATAGAAGGACCTGGGCGGCGTTGAAGCTATCCTCGGGGCCGACCTCATCTATCAACCCCTGATCCTCAGAGCTCAACGAACCCTGGGGAAAGAACTTCTCACCAGTCACCCCTACGCTTCACAACGAATTTATGTCGGTCGAGGCACTCATGTGGTCCAGTCGCACCTTTGAAAGGCCCCTCCCGAAGCGGTAGGTTAGGTACCGAGTCCAGGACCCCCCTGTAGTGAGCCCGACGGAGGCGCTGAAGCTGCAGTCGCAGACGGAGGAACCTCACAACTTGGACCTCCGCCATGAACCCCAGCAAAAGTAGAGGCCGACGTCCCCTGCTCGGCATCCACAAAGTCCATGGGGGGACCTCCGGCCCCGTCTGCAAAAGTCAACCCCATACCAAAGAATAAACAAGACGACACACGAAGAACCACAAAAGAGTGCAAATAAACAAATGTTACTTACTTCGGCCGTCCGCACCACTTGCTCGGTGGACGGAGCCTCCCCCTCGACAGCCTGGGCGACACGCCCAGCATCTTGCGTCGCCGCCTCAATGGCATTTCCTGCTTGCAAAAAATGTCCCCAGGTCAGGTGACCAGAAAAACATAATAGAAGGCAAACGAAAAACCCAACAAACAGGATACTCACCACCTCGGCAACTCGAACAACTTGCTCAGCAATCTGAGCCACTTCTCTAGTAGTCACTTGGGGAGGTGGACTCTCGGTGAGATCCACCGCCTCAGCATCAACGGCCCTGGAGGTTACCTCCTAGGCGTCAGGCGCGGCGGAGGTCTCCCCGGCCTCTTTTGCCCCCCTCTTCCTCTTCCGGTTAACCTTCGGGGGAGCAATATCCTCCCCCTCAAGGCCGGGAACCTCAAGCTCAGAGACATTATAGCAATGTTTCAACTCATGCCACAAGTTCCTTCCCATGATATCTGCAAACAGAAACCAAAGCACATCAACAGAGGAAAATTATGCAGACCCTAATAGTCGAAGGAAGACGAAACACTCACTCTCTAGACCCCTCTCCCCGTAAGACGAATTCGCAAGCGACAGAACGAGCTTGCAATCCAACGGACGAGGGAGCGCAGCAAGATTTTCAATGGCGGCCGCCTCCGGGGCCGTCAACTCCAAGTCACCCAAACCGTGAAACCTAGACAGTTTAAGGCACCAATAAAACGGGAATCTCGGCAAGCTGCCAAAATGAAACACCTCATCCTTCAGAGGATCAACGCCCACAAGGGCGACCCGGAAGAACTCCTGTTTAAAATTTTTATATGATTGGGAGAAGAGAGTAAACAGACCTCCATCCATACTTCCACTCAAAGACAAAATGCCGTAAGGCGGAACGCCTATCTTCAGTTGGTAGAAATGAAGAAAGACGCGAAGGGACACCTCTATCCCCAAAACCGTACACAGAACCTGAAAAACCCTCAAAAAACCCCAACTATTGGGGTGCAACTGGCAAGGAGCCGAGTTGATAAAATTCAAAAAATCACACTCAAATTGGGTGAAGGGAAGACAAACACCTAGGTCCCTAAAAAAGCATTGATATACATAGAAATGGGGAGGGTCGGTAGGCTTCCCCATATACACGCCCTCATCGGCCCGACAAGGCTCAAGCCGAATCATGTGGGAGATAGAAGGATCGCAAATCTTGTGCGCCCTCTGAACCGCATTAACCTCAAGATCAGACTGGAAGACGCTTTGGACTCCCCCCATCTCACGCCTAACCTAGTCATACCCAGGAATACCTGGAACAAGACCCGCTGGCGGCACCACCTCTTTCTTTTTCTCAACGGCAGCCCCCCCGGTTGCCGGCGCCGCACCC